GTATTATGTTTACAAATGGCAATGAAAGAATACTGAATACCGACTTATATATCATATACCAACTAAGCAAGGCGAGTAGCAATTCTCTGAAAAAATAGTATAGCTTTTTATAAATTAATCACAATCTAACTTCTATTATCCAATCTCTCAAATATTTGAGTGTAATCTGTTAATTTTCCAAATATTATTATTATTAATTTAGGAAAAATTTAGAATGTATCATACACTTAAACTTCAACGGTTGTGATTAAAAACCGAAAACGGGTGTTCAGGCCTTATCAGCCACAGAATGATGAAAGGTAGTCTAACACAGCATTGTTTGTTTGGATCGATACCCATAAAGGAAAAAAGAAACCAAAGGGCAATTGAAACAATGAAAAGTTTAAAGTCACACTTTACAGTATTGTTCATTTTTTTTTTTTTTTTTTTTTTTTTTGGGGGGGGGGAATTTTTGACGTTTGATTACTTTTCTTTTCCTTTTTCTAACCCATATTTGTAGAGGATGATCCTTCCAGCGTATCCTAAAAGATTTCCTGACATTCAGTGCCATTTTCAGTAAATGAAAGAATGTGATGCTTTTTATGAGGCTTATGGAGTTGAGTTGCAGGAACTGAACACAGGACCCTGGATTAGAAGACAAGCATCTTAGCCACACCAATGTCCGTTAATAGCGCAAATTCTCACAACCCTACAATGTCCAACAATACCAATACCAAATTGATGTAGGCTTACAGTGCTCATTGCGTCTGTAGCTAAAGAAGGAATTTTTCTCAGTACGATTACATTTGGAACAGCATTTATTAGTCTAACTGGCATCAAATGGTTGGAACTTTAAGCCCTCTTTGTTGCATCGATGTACTTGTCCATGACAATTCACTTTTGTAGATAAGTTTAACTACTGAATGTAATGGCGTAATTATGGATAGCAGCTGATGAATAATGAAATAAAATTACTTTCAAGAATTGTTCGCTGAGAGCTTACATATGTAGAAGGCCTTCATTTAGGCCACCGTGAACAAAACGGGATGGACGTGAGATAACGCGGGGGGACGGAATGGGCAAAAACGTGACAGACCGTGATTGCAGATTTTTAAACTGGCCACCGGGAACACATAATGTAAACCTAGCATAAGAGGCCATGTTGAATATATTCGTTATTAATCAGATGACATATTGAATTGTTTCAATTGATTCACTGACCAATGTGATTCATGTTCAATTTGTAGAATTTTAAAGATAGGCTTATGGGTGCCATCTTGGTGTGAAGTGGTTTGGCGCAGAGGGAATGGTCTGGTTACCTAACTTCGAGGTCGGGGATCAATTCCCTTGCTGTGCATTCCACTTGTATCTTTGGGCAAGACACTTTATCTACATTGCTTCTCTCAACCCAGGAGTATACGTGGGTAGGCCTACCTGGTAGGGTTAAATGCCAAAATGCGCTGATGTAGCTGCTGCATTGTTTTGACATACTCCCCCAGGGAGCTTGAGTTTGTGTCCATAGGCGTTTAATCCCACTGACCGGGGTATTAATGTGAAGCGCTTAGAAGCCTTATTGGCATTATACGCTATATAAGTCTAACATTATATTATTATTATTATTATTTATTATTATTTATTATTATTATTATTATTATTATTATTATTATTATTATTATTATTATTATTATTATCTTTGAAACACAATGTAGAATTTATTAGTTGTTGAACAGATGACATTTTGAATTGTCTTATGTGATTCATTGTCATATAAATAATAAATTAACACCTCCTAAAACGCGATTACAGTACAATTTTGTAGATATTGATAGATATGGGCAAAACATTTTGGCGGCTATCTTGGAAAAAATATCACTTTCCGGTGGTTGGATTTAGTAAGACATTTATCTGTAATTCGTACATCGATTAGGCCGCTAGTACCAAAATCCGTTGAAAAAACTTTTGTTGCAATGTTTTTGGGGTTACCGTTTTTTCATGCTACAAAGTAGTAGCATGTTGGCTTGGAATTTCCAATTAGCTTTTTGCAATTTTTGATATATTTTAATGTTAAGCGCATTTTGAGACTCTGGAACATTTTGAAGCAGTGGTGGCGCCAGCGGGTGGCGGGACAGGGAGTACATTAACCAATGTGTGTTTAGGTCGTCCTCTGTTTCCTTTTACTTTTCTTAGGTGTTCATTTAGTGCGATTTTTGCTGGTATGTTTTCTGGTAGTCTAAGTAGATAACCCAGTCATTTGAGTCTCCTCTTTTTTATTGTTTTGGTTAATAATTCATTTTCTTTGGTCTTCATGTGTTCAATTGTTATTCTGTCTTTTAGTTTGATGTTTAGTGTTATTCTGAATGTGTTTATTCTATTTTCAAATTTTTTGTTAGGGTCCACAATTCACTGTGGATTCTATGTGTTGAGTTTTATTATCTCAATTGTGTTGAGTTTATTATCTTTATTCTTGAAGGCGATTGTCTATGGTTTAAGATGTGTTCATATTTTTTGAAAGCGGTTCTATCCTACCATCTCAAATGATGTGCACCTATCAGTGGCGTCCTATTATACACAAACATGGTATTCATATTATCTATACACTATAGACTATCCACGCAATGGTGGATAATGAAACTGAAAAATAAATAAATACTGTAAAGACCTGGTATTCAACCTTTTTAAGCTGGGGGGGGGGGGGGGGGGCAGTTTCAATCTATTGAGGCCACCGGCGGGCCGACATAATTTTTTCCATTTTTTTAAATGTCAGCTTCACCCACTTTATAGTCTTACATGTCTTCCTAATACGCCTATTATTAGTCTTGGTTTTTTGACATCATCTAAGGTAAGCCTTGTTTTCAACGCAGTTGGCATAGGGAAGGGTGGAGAATACAACAATTCTCCTACCCTTCTACCAGTAGAAATTTTAAAAAAAATACCCTAATATACTAAAGCTGAAAAAAGATGTCAGCGACAGAAAGTTCCCGACGAGGAGTCAGATTCCCTTTCCTTTTTTTTTTTTACCTCAGCTCAACCATGGTTGGGGCTGAGGTAAGCAATTTTTTTTTAAATAAACACCCCTAGATTCCCGGAAATGGCACATCAAAGGGCCTTTGGTCCGAAGGTCCATTGGTCCGAAGGCCCGTTGGTCCGAATTAGTGACCTTTTTCCCAGGAATGCAGGTTATACGGCAGTAAAACAATTCCTTTCAATTTACGGAGTAAATTAAGAAACATCACTTTTCTAAAACAATATTCCCAAAAATTTTCTCTAACAAGTAAAAAAAAAAACTAGTTTCTTTTCACCTCCCGCATCCATTTCGCTGCCTCACCATTTAAAAAAATACATATTTCCTTTATTTTGCGAAATGTACAAAAATCTTGCTAACTCACATCAGTAAAATTCCTCTCTCGATCGTGGATAGGGAGATGTTCCCAGTGAGAATTGCAGTTGAACTATTACCAGTAGTATTATGAATTAAAACTCAATGTGTTATGATACGAATCATATCTAGTGCTTCTTTTATGTGCTTTTAATGTGCAGTGGCGGCACTACAGGGGTAACAGGGGTGGGGAAAAATTCCCCCTAGAAAATTTGTTTATCCCCCACCCCCGAAAAAAAGAGTAAAAAATACACAATTCGTCGGGAATAAAAAAAATATATATGTATTTTCTACATATTAGTAGACTACCTATTTATAATCGATTGAATAACCCCCTGGAACCCTTAAATTGTCACATTTTCCGTGGGATCAGCCCCATGGACCACTATCGAAACATTTTAATTGACACCCGACCACGCTCATTTTGCTCTCGTGGCGAACTTGCCCCCCCAGTGTAACGAACGCCGTTTGTGTGAACACTTTGGAATTTTAATCCGTTGATTAGCTTACGCCTGGCGTAAGCCACGCCAGTCTTACGCCGTGTGTGTGAACATAGCC